GCTTATTATATATATATATTATTTTTTTTTTCCTTAAAGGATGATTGTCACATCCCAGCTCGAGCCCCCACCACATTCCAGACTCAACTCCACCGTAGCACGATATTGTCTGCTTTGGGCCTCGACCACGTCATCACAGTTTTGTTTATAGAAACTCACACGAGAACTTCCCAGTGGGTCACCCATCATGGGATTGCTCTCGCGCAAACTCGCTTAACTTCAAAGTTCCGATGGAACCTGAAGCCAGTAAGCTCCCAAAAGACCTCGTGCTAGGTAGAGATGAGAATATACATATAAGGCTTATATGATCCACTCCCCTAGGCAATGTGGGATGTTACAATAGCGTAACGTCGAAGTGCGTATATAATAAAGTGAAGTTAAAATAGTTGTACTGAAAACAATACCGAAAATAGAAAAACTTCATCTACACACCCCGTAGGCGTCACGTGTCCCGAAGATGAGTGTGTGGTATCTTTGGGTTAAGCCTAAACAATAAATAAACAACTAAACGTAGACGGACCTAGATGTCCACTTGCTTAACGAGTTCAACAATTAAACTCTCAATATTATGGTTTGCAGCTCGTAATACCAAAACTCACTGTTGTCCCGATAAGTAAGTAACAAATTCCAGAGGATGCAGTATTACCATCATGCCCCTCATTGGGAAAATACGCATAAATCATCCAATTAGCGCCTTAATCGCGATCATGTCGGAGAAAATTACACCCCTCGCTGGAGCTTATGGAGTCTCAGGTTTTCGAAGTCAAACCACTTAACAAAAGGTATCACCGTGTTCTAGGGTTCGAGAAGAGTAAGAATCTGGAAACACCAAGTTCGATCCGTAGTGTTTTGGTTTAGTTTGAGGGTGAATGCTCTCGGTTGTACGGACGGGGAAGAAAATTCGAGAAAGAGAGAGAGGATGTAGGTTGCACGTGTGCTTATGAGTGTGGCCACAGGTTGGCCATATTAAAATGGCCTTAAGCCCTAATTGTCACATCCCGACCCGGGCCCCCACCACATCCCGGGCTCGACTCTACCGTAGCACGATATTGTCCACTTTGGGCCCCTACCACACCCTCATGGTTTTGTTTACGGGAACTCACACGAGAACTTCCCAGTGGATCATCCAACCTGGGATTGCTCTCACGTGAACTCGCTTAACTTCGGAGTTCCGATGGAAGCCGAAGCCAGTGAGCTCCCAAAAGGCCTCGTGCTAGGTAGAGATAGGAATATATATATATAAGGCTTACATGATCCACTCCTCTGGGCGATGTGGGATGTTACAATCCACCCCCCTTAGGGGCCCAACATCCTCGTCGGCACACTTCCGGCCAGGGATTGGTTTTGAAACCAAATTGTCACATCCCAGCCCAGGCCCCTACCACATTCCGGGCTCGACTTCACGTAGCACGATATTGTCCACTTTGAGCCTCTACCACACCCTCACAGTTTTGTTTCTGGGAACTCACACAAGAACTTCCCAATGGGTCACCCATCTTAGGATTTTCCTCGCATAAACTCTCTTAACTTCGGAATTCTGATGGAACCCGAAACCAATAAGCTCCCAAAAGGCCTCGTGCTAGATAGAGATGAGAATATACATATAAGGCTTACAGGATCCACTCCCCTAGGCGATGTGGGATGTTACAATGATAATGCATTAGGTGAGCTACACAGAAGGCTTGGTCGTCGGATTATAATAATAGAAATCTTACTTTCTAAACCTACACAAGGCGAAAAGAAAGAACCAAGACTAGGATTAGCCATCAACTACAAGTGGGCAAATTTATTCCCTCTCAGAGCGATTAGAAAGTGCTCTCCCTGATAGAATGGCCCCTCCGCCCCCTATCTTCAAAATTTATTAAATAAAGAAAAGTGAAAATAAAAGAACACAACTTTATAAAATTTGGTTGGTTGCTGGGTTTTTTTTGTTTATGTGTATCTTGAAAGATGCGTATAAAAGTGAAGTTTGATGATGAGAAATGATATACATACACTTTTTTAGAATCTCACGCACTCTGCTGATGTACGAAATTTATTGGACCTTGAGTCAACGTAAAGTGTGTGGAGACCTTCACGAGTGCGCTCTAATCAAGGGTGGGCAAACGAAGCAACATGCAAGGAAGATTGAATAAGCATCGAAAGACACCGGTGTGGTAGCAGCCTAAGAGCCTCCGATGCTTAAGTTAACAAAGTATGTTGAAGACGCCATGAGGGTGAATTTAGCTTTAATATAGTATTTAAGTAGGAAAGATAGTTAACCTTTTAAACGGAATAGAAGTTACCATTTTATAGAGGCAAAGTTGGATAATATTTCTTGACTTCGACCAATATGCGTTGAACGCACTTAATTTGATTTTCATTACCTTGGAGCTTAGATCATGTATTATGGCAGATTATAGTATTGATTTTCAGGTTGAAATGGGGACCGAAACTCGTGCAATCCTGATATCCAATGCTGGAGGCCGTTTTATCCATCACACAAATCTAATAAAGAGATTTTGTTCCCAGTCTTTGAAATAAAACTCTTTGATGGGGCTCATTTGTGTCGTCTTACAAAAGATGTCGTCTTTTTTCTTTTTTTTTTGCCTTTTAATCAACAAACATATGGAGCGTCAATTTAAAGTTGAGTACAAAAAGTATATAATGATCTTTATCCACGTCTACGACTAAACGTTATAGTAATATAATTTCTTGTTAAATTTTGTTCTTAAGTGCAACCTCAACACATTTGGATTAGTAACGTACATTTTCATACAGAATACCCTTCTTGCAGAGAAATTATATTTTAATATGCCTTCAGAATCTTAAGTGAGAGTCTGAGATACCCTTTTTTATAAGGAGAGTATGAGATTATCCCTAGGTCATTACAACTTTAAATTACCCCCCAAAACGATGCATCCTATTTCTTCGGCAAAATACAAATTAATTTCGAGATGCGAATTGTTAAATGGCAGTCTGGTAGAAGGATATCCCCGGTTGAATTGGATAAAAAATTTGGGGTTATGTTATTAATAATTAAAAATAGTGGAATTATAGGGAGATCAAATATTTTAAACTAAATTTGCAAATCAAATGATGTGATTGTAGATAATTAATTATTGATTAAATGTCGATTAACATGCTTGTTTTTTATCGGTGATGTATCGTTTGGTTTACAATTTGGTTCAAAAAAAGATTGTCATCATACACTCTTTTTAGCTATATAAACTTTTTTTTGTGAGTTATATATTTAGAGTGTATATAACATTTTTAGAGAGCGAATAACAACTATCAGAATTTATTAGAGAATTAAACTTTGATTGTTTAAAATGATAATGTAGAATATAATGAGGTTCTTCATCCATTGTCAATTGACTTTGATTCTAATTCCCTTTATATGATTTTTAATTTAGGTATTCGAAATGATAAACAAGTAGTTGTGTTTTTTTTCGAATAATGTTAGGGAGATCAAAATTTTAAATCAAATGATGTTTCACTAATAAAAAATAAACACATTAATCATTACTTAAGTAATAATTTAATCATCAACGTCCACATAATTTGATTTACAAAATTTAATTTAGAAATTTGGTCTCCCTAACATTAATCTTCTTTTTCTGTTGCCTTGTTTAAGGTTAATGCCCAACTGCTACCATTGCTTGATAAACGAGTAGTTGTCTTTCTTTTTCTCCTGTATCGCTTTTATTTAAGGGATTTCCAAAAATGTTTACTTAAGCAAAAAATTATAGTTGAGAAGTTTATAATTAAAGTTGGTCAAGCATAGCTTTTGATATACACGTTAACATTTTAAACACATCTAGTTCGACGGATTAACATGCTAACCACATTTACTTAATTGCCACCCAACTTATTGATCTCCTTTATTACTTCAACTCCTACCCACTTTATTCTCTCGCTAATTTGATTCTCTTTTCTCGGAAAACATGCTTTTATTCAAAACGAAATAAGCACAGTAAAGTAGGAGAGATTTTTTTCATATCTGCAAAACATAAGCCGATACATTACCCGTCATAAAGTATGTGGAGAGAGTTAAAGAAAATTGGGGATACACTATAGAATTAATTGTCATTATGGAGCCGACCTATTAACCCTTGGGCGGATACGAACGTATTTTAAGTAATTGTTATTTTGTACGACCGTAATGAAAGCGTAATTATCTAACTTTGGGCTCGTTTGAATATGCTTTTACAATGACTGAAAGCGTTTTTAAAAAAAATCTTTTTAGGTTCCAAAAGCACTTCACAAAAGCACTTGAAGTGCTTTTTGCAAGAAACACCAGTTATGTGCTTCTTTCAAAAAGCACTTTAAGTGTTTTTCCTGGATTTACTTGTATTTTTACTAAGGATTGGTTCTAAAAACATTTTCACCAAAAGCGCTTTTAATCATTTTAAAAGCATGTCCAAACAAGCTCTTATAAGCTCATTTGAGGTCGCTCCTCCCATCAAGTGAGATCCATTCTCAACAATAATTACACTGAAAAATCTCTCAATACATAGTATATGCGTCTGGACAGATTTTTCCAATTGCCAAGTATTCAAGCGGTTCTCTACATATATGTCATAATACAAGTGAAAAAATGATATATTTTTTCCCATCTCTTCACTTATTTTATGACACGTGGAGTATCCGCTTGACTACATGACATTTAGAAAAATTCCTCATGCGGCCGAAGAATCTCTAATTTAATCCCTCCATGTGGGGGGATATTTCACTGTGCCCGAACACGAAGTAGAACATCACGTGTCACTATATAAGTGATGATATTTTTTTATAAAGTAAGTGATGAGATACTTGTGTAAAAAAAACTAACAACTTAAAAAATGAAATTTCCCTCCGCTTATTCAATGACACGTGGTGTACCATCTCAATTCTAAGCACAATAAAAAATTTCTCCTCTACGTGGGGTCAAAAAAGCAGGTGGCACATTTCATATGAAACTAGCAACCTTAAAACTTCATTTCTCAAGTACTAAGCTCACAAAAGAATAATTGACAAACATGTTTTTTCTCTCCGAAATTATAAACTTGGTAGGCTTCTGGGATGCAGCTCTTGCCCTGTTTGGTCTTTTCATATTCACTTGCTTGCTAGAAAAGTTTACCAACAAGGGTCCAATGCTATGGCCAGTAGTGGGGATCGCACCCTCACTTTTTCTCAACATATCCAACATCTACGATTGGGCAACCCCAGCTCTGATCAGGGCCGGAGGAACCTTTCGCTTCAGGGGAATGTGGTTCGGCGGGGCCCACGGGATTGTGACCATCGATCCTTCGAAAATCGAGTACATGCTCAAAACAAGATTTATCAACTTCCCAAAAGGCCAGTACTACAGGGAGAGGTTTCGTGATTTGCTCGGGGATGGGATTTTTAATGCGGACAGCGAAATGTGGAAGGAACAGAGAAGAATTGCAACTTCGGAGATGCATTCGAGCCGGTTTTCGGACCACTCGTTTCTTTCCATGCAAGTTTTGGTGCACGACAAGCTATTGAAGTTGATGGAGCATGTGGTGAGTTCTAAAAATGGTGTTGTTGATCTCCAAGAAGTGCTTCTTCGGTTTACTTTCGACAACATTTGCATCACGGCTCTTGGTATTGATCCAGGTTGCTTGGCTTTTGACTTGCCTGAAATTCCTTTCGCGAAAGCTTTCGAAGAAGCCACTGAACTGACTCTCTTCAGGTTCATGGTTCCACCTTTTGTGTGGAAGGTTATGAAGTTCTTCGAAATGGGGTACGAGAGGAGGCTCAAAGAATCAATTGGAATCGTGCATGACTTTGCCGGGAAGGTAGTGACAGAACGATGGAACGAATTAATTAAGCTCAGCGGGTTAAAAGATAGGTCTGATCTCCTGTCTAGGCTTATGGAGTACACTGATCAAAACCCACAAGGACAAGGAAAACAAAAGCGCTTTTCGGATAAGTTCCTAACAGATTTCTGCATAAGTTTTATTTTAGCTGGGAGGGACACAAGCTCTGTGGCCTTAGCATGGTTCTTTTGGTTGGTGCAAAAAAACCCAAAAGTGGAAAACAAAATCCTCAAAGAAGTCAACGACATTTTAGGCGGACGCGAATGCAGTCAGAAAAATCCAATTTTTACAGTGGAAGAACTAAAGAAAATGGTGTATCTACAAGCAGCATTGTCAGAATCACTGAGGCTTTACCCAGCAGTGCCAATTGACATCAAAGAGGTTGTTGAAGACGATGTGTTCCCTGATGGCACCATGGTGAAAAAGGGAGGCCGGGTTCTATACTCGATTTTCTCCATGGCGCGAATCGAGTCCATATGGGGACGAGATTGCTTGGAGTTTAAGCCTGAAAGATGGATTAAAGACGGCGCTTATGTGAGCGAGAATCAATTCAAGTATCCGGTGTTTAACGCTGGTCCAAGGTTGTGCTTGGGGAAGAAGTTTGCCTACATGCAGATGAAAATGGTGGCTGCTGCCATTCTGTTGAGGTATGAGGTTAAAGTTGTTGAAGAACATAATGTAGTTCCAAAGTTGACAACCACACTATACATGCAGAATGGGTTGCTTGTAACTCTCAAGCCTAGGTTTCTTACAACTCTGTGAGTGTGAGGAATTGTCGAGCATTTATTTTTTAACTATTTATGGAAATCCTAGGCTGCTGTTCTATGTTCCTCTTGGGCAACTGGTCCATGGAATAAACTTGATATGGTAAAACCACAGGCAGTACAAGCTTTCTTTGTTGTCCTAGCAGCTAGAAATTGGAATAATGCGACAGACTGGCAGTTAAAGGATCTGGCAGTGGACCACATCTTTCCAGCCACACTCACAAAGAGTGGGATCCATCTGCATTGGACCCACTCTATTTGAGTGTGGCCAAACAAAAGACGTGGTGATAACGACGTAGTGCACCAATCGGTCATCTATCGCCTCCAAGCCTAATATTGGAAAGTAAATACTCAAAAATGATTTTCTGATTCGTGTGCAAGTCTCTAGTTTATTTGAAGTCTTGACCAATAAGTGAACACATATTAATTATATTGGTTATATGCAATTCTAATTCTACCACTTCTTACATGGTATCAGAGCACGATTATTTGGCAAATGTGAAGACAGAATAAAACATAATAATTAGGATTTCATTCTTGTTTGCTCGTCTTAAGAGATATGAATTACAGTTCGAATTTTTTCCTACTCCTTTAGGCAACCACTTCGGCATATAGGCTTTTAACAAAAAAAAAGATCGTTGATATGCAAAGCGAACCTGAATTACTTTCCATCTTAATCTGCCGCGACCACACATTTTTATTTTACAAACACATATTTGCGTCTTTAGACATAAAGTACAAGACCCTCCTTTGGTAGCTTCGGTCATTAGTTGCCTAATTTTTTATTTCCTACGCTTACAAACCTTCCTTCGATGGCGTCGAATTTATCAAGCTGTCCACGACTTTGAACCACTGGCTTGCGGGGTCGCACGAACTGTCTCCGCTTAAGCATTTGCAGGCATTTGTGACAATGGTTTTGTCGGAGTCTACATCCAGGCAAACTTCAGTACCATCCGTGGTCTTAGATTGAAGGTGCATCTGGGAATCCGAAATGGTCTCCCATTGCGAATTCGGGGTGGTGCACGGTATTCCCAATACTGCCGGCTTATTCAGTTGATCAGCTTGTATGCAGAAATCTATTTCATTCAGCAATAGGACCTTTGTGGATGAATAGGTCCAGCCTTGAGTCTGAGAGCATGGACCTAACTTCAAAGGGCCACGGGTTCCAACTTTTAGGAGGCAGAGGCCTGTGGCTGGATGGAATATGATTTTATGCAACGTGGGTGTATGTAAACCTGCCCCTGCAAACACCACAAGTACATTAATCTTAAGTATGTAAATTTGAGTAGACGTGGGCGTCGCACACATTGGCTAGAGCGGATGTGGTCTCCCCTATCAACCCGAGTTTAAATTTCCATCCCAACAGTTTATATTAGTTTAAAATAACATATTGGTTGTATCAGTCTCCCATGAGCACGCAGGAATTTTTGAGTAAAAAATCACTAGCATGCATGTCTGGGAGACTGACCTTAGAAAAATCGAACCAAGAAATCGAACACACTATACCTTTGATAGAAGTTTGGAGGACAGATAGTCTTTGAGTTAGGCTTGTATTCCTGATACCACTCCAATCCGAGTTCAAGATTCCATAATACTCTTCCATACCCGTCACCCCTTGCCTTAAATAATAACTCCCAACCAGGCTCCACTGAGCAAAATCCACATCAAGTTCAACAGCAGCAGCCATGAAGCAGTTTAAGTACCTGTTGTCAATTACATTGGTGCCCCTCTGGTCCACACCAAACTCGCTCACAAACAACGGAAATCCTCTGTAAAGCAAAAAACCTGACCTTCCCTTCATGTTATTGTACACATGGCCGCACACTTGATTGGCGTTGCCGCTCTTCCACTCCTGCCCGTCTGTAAATCCATACCAGTGAACCTCATATACCGTTTTCCCAGAAAATGTGAGCTTCACTGGTCGATTGGCAAGGAAAGACAAGTCTGCGTCAAACTTCAGGCCAGAGAGAATGACAAGCACATTTGGGTTTGCCTTGTGGACTGCCTCAGCTCCTCTTTGCATATACCTATATCATGCATAGTTCATAATAGTATGGTTAATTACCATTAATTCGTTTTTATCAGTGGTACATGCATACCACAAAGAAATCATTGTGATGTGCTTGGATATCGCCACTTGGGATAACCAATTCACTTATGTTATACTACGTGAGTTTGCTTGAAATGAAATGACGCACTTACGTGTACCAATCGTTAACATTCTGTTTGGGGCCTCGCAGCTCATTCCTCAAGCTCATGCCCACCACATTGCGCACACCATGGAACAACGCTGCCATTCGAGTTAGGCCAACGATCCAATTGTCAGGGTTGAAATACTTGTCGCCGAAGAAACCATTGTCGTCAGTGTTGCTGCAACACCATCCAGGCTTGCTTAAGTGATTGTCCAGTACAACCATCACATTGTTTTTCCCAAGGCTAGAAACCACCGCCTACACGTGGACGTAATAAGCAGTTATTAACCTTGCTTAAACTAATAAACCTGTAAAGTAAAATTGGAACATGTAGACTCTCGATCTTCACCTCTCTAGTCTGTTCTGCAGGTAATCAGCCACCCCTAAATTTAAATCCATGTCATATGAAACTGGCCGTTTGATTAATAACCAATTCGTTTTTTTTTTTTTTTTTTTTTTTAATCTGAAAACCGAAATCTTGTTTCATAATTACTTTCAGTTTTCATTTTTTTTGCCAAAAAACTGAAAGTAATCTTGAGTTTTCAAAAATTGGCCTTGGATGTTCACGTTTTGGTTTTTAGTTTTCAAAACTTAAAGTAGTTACCAAAAAACATTTCAATTTTCAAAAAGTTGAAAACTAAAAACGAAATGGTTATCAAACAATCCCAAACTTTTATTTCTTATGATCAATAAATTTTTTAATTTACACTCGTGTTAAAACATGCGTATAACAGAACCTGTCATTTATCAATGTTACAATAATTAGATTAGTAATACCAGGTTGCAGTGTTAATGTCCGATGGTGCACAACAATTTATTGGGTTATTTATTCTGCAGATGCAAGTGCTAACATTGTCGACTACGGATTTATAGAAAAGAAATTTGTAAATATCATGATAGCATGGACCGAGATATATAACGATTATCTTTAGTCATTGGATTCATTTGTTTCATGCTATGAGCCAGTCTATTCTGGATTTTGTACGATTGTAGCTCTTCATTTAAAGTTGTCCTTGACTTGTTTGGTAATGAAAACTAATCGGAAACTCACTTTTAATAATTTTCAAACTTTGGCTTTCAATTTTTCAAAATTAAAGAACTTACCAAATAAGTTTTCAGTGCATACGGTCTCTTGCAGAAAAACTAATCTTACCGACAGAGATTTTTTACTGTAGAAATGTAATCTGAAACATTAATGTCATAATACAAGTAGATGGACATTTGAAAAAAAAAAATTACTCCCCACTCATACGGTCAGACTATAACACTTAGTGCAGCGAGCCGTATTTTCGGTACACTAAAAAAAATTTCATACAAATACTTGTGGGGTCCATGCAGAATATCATAGTTAAGCAAACGAAAATAAAAACTCACCTCAATTATATTTTTCATTTTATATCACTCAATATTTGACACGTAGAATGACCTTTTTAAAGCGATAATATAGCAACGAGTAATGCTAGAAAGACTAAATTTGTAGACAAAGTTTTAAAAACTAAATAACATGAAAGTTGATGATTGATTTATTACTTAGATATTGATAAACATGTTTATTCTTATTGGTGACGTATTATTTAATTTGTAAATTTAATCTCTAAATTTAATCTATCTAGCATTACCTTTTAACAACCCCTAAAAAAGTATCTACATTATTTTTCCCGTGAAAATCAGAGAACTTGTACCTGGAAAGCTTTTATAAGGGAGAGATCGACGAAGCCGGGATTGTTGGACTGGAGACCAGAAATGGAACCGAGCAGCCCAAGGCTCTGAAACGACTGACGAACAGTGACTTCTGCCAGCGTCGAATTGGTGGCCAAGGAAAGCGGCCACGTCAGCCTGACGCAGTTGAACCCCAGCGACGTGATGCGCTTGGTGATTGCGTTCACCGGCTGCTTACTTAGGCCTTCGGCAAGGACGGTGTCGAGATGCGACACCCAATTCACGCAGGCCAGCTTCACGCGCCTCCCATTCTCGTCGACGATCCACCGCGTGTGGGTGGAGAGTGGGAGGGCTGGGACTGCGATGAGAGAAAGGATGGAGAGAAAGGAGAAGAGTGAGATGATCGGCCTCGACATGGCTAGGATGTTAGTTGAGAATTTATGGGAGCTCTTAATCTATATACTGCTGATTGATAGGCCCACCACACTCCATGCAGTTCACTCCATGCACTTCAAAACAATAAGATAAAAAAATTGGGGTTTTTAACGAAAAGTCCACTGTACTGTTCATTTTAATCAAAAATTACATTTTTACACTAAAAAGTCAATCATGTTACTATTTACTTTACCTTTTATTTTGTTCTTATCGTTAAAACTCAAAGTTTTGAAACCTTTTTTATTAGTTTTCCTTAAAATAGTTACAATTTACAAGGCTTTTTACCCGGTATGCATTTATCATGCTTCGGATTGTGTAAATTAATACAAGGTTTTTTACTAAATACACGATGAGGCGATTTTATTTATATATTTTTTTTCTTATTTTTGGTATACTTTAGTGATTATTTTGGTGAGATTTTGATGTTTTATTATGTATTTTTAATGTAGAACATGCAAACTCATTTTTGGTATAAAACGATGAACCAGTGGAATTTTTTAATAATTTCAATTGGAGCAGGTTCGTGAGTCTGTCAAGAAAGTTGTGTCAAAATTTTAGAATTTTATCCCGAAGTATTTGATTGCAGCAAATTAATTTTGGTACAACACGCAGTGTTGGCAGATTGAGCTGCAAGGCTCATTTGCGATTTGGGCTTCAAGATGTGGTTCTTGGACTTGGGTTCTTCTACAAACTTGCAGAGGACATCCTAAGCTTTAATTCAAGTCATTTTGAACATGTTTTGGCCATGACGATCCAAAAATGTGGGAATTTTTCAATTGGCCAAATTTCCTACCTTGATTTAGATTGTGATTTTAAGTTATCGTTTTATTATTTTGTTCCGAGTTTTTTGAAGACCTTTCATAGGAAGCTTTATAGTAGTATAAATAAGGCTTATTCGGCCATTATGGTCCTCTAAGCACCACTTTGGAAAACTAAGCTTAGAGAGCTATTTGACCATTCAACTTCATTTTACAAGGTGTCTTCAATCATTTTCTTCTTTATGATATTTTGCTTTTTAAGTATGATTATGCGTAACTAATTCCTTTTGCTAGAGCAAGGCCACAAGCTTTGCAAAAATATGTAGGTTCTTTTCAATTTACTTATGATATTATGCATGTATGTTTTGAATTATTAATCTTCGTGTTTGAAACTATCTAATAGTTGTGATGATTGGCCATCATTAGGATGTTTAAAAAAGTAATTTGATGCAATTTTGGTCTGAAGGTTCTTTGAAATTGGCTATGATTTATTGTGGTTAATAATTGTAAGTTCACTTACACTCTGTTTGGATATAGTAAAATAAAACATAATTTCATTTAAAATACAGAATTTGGGATGGGAAAGCAATTTTCCCTCATTTGGGAAGTTGTAGCGTGAGAATAGCCAATTTCTACGAGAAAAAAAGGGGAAATTGGGGATGAAGATTTCCAAGTTTAATTTCCGTCTAAATAGGTGGAATTTCACAATTCCAACAACGACGAGAATCCCAAATTCATCAGCTGGAAATCTTGCACGCACCAAATTTGAAATTTCATGATTAGGGCGTCAAACTGGGATGATTAGCACCAAAGTTCACAATAAAAGGGTTGCATCTTCACTCTGTTAACTCTCCAATCTTCGAAGGGATTCTCGCTCGTGCTTCATCTTCTTCCTTCGTTCTAGGTCAACCTCTTCTCTCTTCTTTCTTGAATTATTTTAAGCTTTTTGGGTATACTTGTTATAGCAATTGTGAATTTTGCTGATAGTCATACGCTTGGTGCGCTTATTAGGTTTTTTTCCCCGATTGAATTGTGTATTGGGTATGTAACCTTATCTAGGAAAGGGGGAAGGTTTTTGGGTCTGTAACATTGTTTGGGAAAAAGGGAAGATTTTTGGTGGTGGTGGGTAAGGGGATACACATTATTGGCTCTTCCCTTGAATTGTTTCCTTCACTAGAAGAAAAGAAAACATAATCTAGCAGTCCTCCATTTTTAGTTTTTGATGGCCTTTGGTATTAGGTTAGAAGTTCCTTATTACAAATGTTCTTTTGAAGGTTAACAACAGCCAAGATTGAATGTGATTATTTTGTTAAGCCACCAAAGCAGTAATTGAAAGAAGGAATTACTCTCATGATACTAATGTCAGATCTTTCTTTCTTTACGAACCAACTGTTGATTTAAATGTAACTTGTATGGCTACTCATTCTTTTTTGTTCACTTTTGCCTCATATGTTTTTTGATTGCATAACCTCACTCTTAATTTCTTGCCTCAAAAACCTTGTGCGTCTACTACATGTATATCTACAACTTTTGGTTAAAACAAAAAGTTGCATATCCCATAACTATTGTTGCATATCACAATATATCTTTGTTCATATATTCAAACATGTATGGAAAATACTAATGTTGTAGACATGCTAACGAGGTTAAAGCGAAAGTGTGCTATAAATGAAGAGGAAAATAGGGAAAAAAAGAAAAATTATTGTCAGTACAATTATATATGTTATTGTCATTGTCATGCATTGGTATAGTAAGAGTGTTCTTCTCAATAGTGAGTGATATACTAAGTCAAAGTGGATTTAGTTGGGATGCAACCAAAAAGATGATAAGTGTAGATGAAGACTATGTCTGGCAAGAGTACGTGAAGGTATGACAAAATCATTGCTTTTCTTTTGTGTGTGTGATATTCTTTTAACTATTCTTATACTTATGGTTTGCTTTTTGATTTTTATGTTTTGACTGGTAGTCACATAGTGGTGCTGAAAGTTTTTGTTGGAAGGTCATTCCAAATTGGGATGATATAATGGATTTGTGTGGCAAAGATAAAGTCACGGGTGAAGGTGCTGAAACAGGTGTTGAAGCTGCTCCTCTGCATAATGAACCTAATCATATTGATTTGGATGATAAGCAAGGTTTAGAAGATATTGAAATTGTTAATGATACTACTTCAGCCAATGGTCAGAAGACTCAAAGCAAGAGAAAGCCAACAAATTTTGTTGATGTGCCTTATACAAAGAGAAAACCAACCACCCCTAAATATTTGATTGCAGATTCACTTGCCAAGATGGATGGCTTCATCCTTTCAAGACTATATTTGTGCAGATACAAAAAAGCTTGATCCAACAAAGGTATATGATGAAGTAAATGCAATACCAAATCTTACTGAAGAACAAATCAAAGCATATGCTTGGTTGATCGAAAATGACAAGCAATTTCTCATGTTAAAGACACTTCCAGTTGAGAAGAAAAAAAAAATGGTATTATTGTTTACTTTACGAGGCGCATAGGATTGTTTTCATTATATTTTCCATTTTAGTGTTTTTCAGTAAGATATTAGTTTTTTTTTTAAAAAAGCCTTGCATGTCATGAAAGTTCATTGACATTTGCAAGTGTGCTTTATTGGGATTTTCCTACTTCAATCAACTCTATCATATTATTGCAGACTCATCACATTATTGCACCTGTTAATTGTTGAAAAATTTAGACTCTGGTTTTAATTAACCAATGTCTTGCTGATGTATCATTTTGAATCGACTTGGTGATTTTTTAATTAATGTCTCATTTTTGTTTGATGACTTTAACCCTGATGATTTATAACTCGTTTAACATTTTTATTCAAATTTGTATTCCTCTATATAATACAAATTCTAGCGAATATCCAAACAATGAAATTTGGAATTCTTGTCATTTTTGTAATTTCTATGTATCCAACATCCAAACAATGAAATTTCAATTAACGAGAATTTAATTACTGTCATTTGTAATTCCCGTCATTTAAAATTATGTGATAATTTATAAATTCTTCATCCAAACATAGTGTTAGGGTGAACACCACGCCTTCAAGGTTGCATGGTTTTTCAAAGGGTTTTCATAATGCTTAATAAGTCTTTCATGTTCACATTTAATCCGAATGTCCGGACGGATTGCATGTTTGATATACCGTATAGATTCGAGGTCCAAATATAGCTTACTTTAGGAAAACCTAACTTTCAAAATATAGATGGGCAATTCATAAGTAATTGGGAGGAACTACATAGAATTGTTAATGTGACGGCGGAACCCTAGTGTCTTTTTAAATTGATTTTCAAAATTGTTTTCTTTTAGTTATATTCCTTTTGCCAAACCTTTTAAATTGTTTTTATTAAATTCATTTTTATAATTTTAAGACATAAAATCAATCTTTTCGAAACTTTGTTTTAAATAATTAATTAACAATTGGTTTTAAATAGAAATTGTTTTAAGAATCCTGTGAAGAATGACCTTGCTTAAGCCGACTATATTGTGATAACCTTGTTACTCTTGTAAGTATTTTAGATATTTTTATACCTACTTTTTTAGGTGGTAAAAATCCTATCAATATACATTTATGAATAATACCTTGCACCTAACTTTGATGTATATATTCAACTCTTGCGACAAACATATTATTATTGTACAAATATCATAAACTCAATTGTTTAATTTCTTATTTTTTATTTGAGGATGATCCCTCCAAAATATCATTAGAATCGAAAAATTGTTTAGTCATCCAAATGTATGAAGCAAGTTGACAATGTATGTACCAAATAACATATTTACAATAAACTGTCCAAGTATCTGATACAATTAAATGACTAAAAATCTATCATTTGAATTCTAAAAGTATCTTTAGATGATGAATAACAAACAAGATCTTTGGTAATTTCCAATCACCAATTTTACATCAACTAATGAATTACATAATTTTACAGGGCAGCCTTACTTGATTAACCCTAGTATGTAATTAATTTCTTAATCTGCCACGACCAAATAGCTGGTAATTTCTTTACAACTATATGTTTGCGTCATTTAATATTGTGCAAGACATATTAAGGAGCTGGTGGTTTTGGGCATGTGCAATAAGTTCCCTTGCACATGGCTCCAAATTATAAATGACCCTAAAAATATGATATCATCTACGTATCTATTAACTTGTTAAAAACTTCGTATTTGGAAAATTTTCTAGGTTCTGAATAAGAGAAACATGACATCCATATGCA